ACAGGTTTTAACTGCGTTTTCTGTGTTACAGTCGCATGCTCGCACCGTAATGTTAAGAAAATATCATCCATTGATGTATCGAAAAAATAAAGCGAACTATTTGATGAACACTACGGGCCGAGTAAAAACCGAGGGCGGAGGAGGAAGGCTGAGGCAGCGGCGCGCCCCGGCCCTCGAGTCCGGAGCGGGGAGAAAACTAAATTGGCGGCAGCGGCGCCGGCCGCGGAGTGGCGGGTTCAATGTCTTCTTGTTTTATGTTTTATGGTTATTTTGTTTAAATTTTTGATGGGAAAAAAAAAGATTAAAAAAAAAAAAACTTTGTCCGACCGACCGAACCGATGCCGATCTGTTTTGTTTGGCCTCATGCTTTTTTTTTTTAGGTTGACTGTCATAGACTAAATAGTGCTCATTTTCTGGTTCATTAATCAAGCATTAATCATACATGCAAAAACAGCGCATCCATGAAATAATACAATTTTGCTGAAATTGAGTTTTTGTATTTTGAAGACCCGATGGCCCTGAGAACGCTTTCCCCCCCTAGTTTTATTGCCACTGATTGTTTCATACAGAACATGAAGATTCCAGATCACTCAACGACCAACCCCCCTCATCTCTGAACACACCTCAGAGGTTGTTTAAAGTGTGGTGACACCGATGGTCCCCAAGGCCATAGACCAGCTGAGCCTGACAGCTGCTCAAAGTCCACTATTCAATTACTGTATTCGCATGTATGTGGGTGTGTGTGGAAATCGACGAATTACATCGCTTCTTTCTCAGTAACACATAAGCACATGTGTTGTGAAACCAAACATTCAAGTACAAATATCAGTATGCTCACTGTTGTGAATGGAAGGGGGGGGGTGACGTGCTACATTCGCACTCTCATCAGGATCCTTGCAGCCTCTTCCAATAATGAAGTTTTTGGATGATTTTGCTCGGGATCCTGATGAGTAGCACATTACATTAATTCAGTCTGGGGGGGAAGAGCTGTGGACAAGCTCTGTTCGGAAGTATGAGAATCAAAAAGAACTCTGATAATGATGAAAGACAGTGTTGTAGTGATGATTGATGTGAGACCTAAAGATTAGTACATAACACTGAGGTGACTGATATTCAAGGGTTGTGGTCAGAGAAAGCAGTGTTAATTATGGCCGAGGTTGAAGATTTTATAGGCCACCAAGTAAAACTCTTTTAGTTTTGGAGCTGTTCCTCTAAAGGACACACACACAGTGGGCAGTGACGATGACAATGATGTGACTATGATGAAGAAAGGTCTGTGCCTGTCCTCCTGTAGGTTTCTGTGTCATTGACATAGCAGTGGTATTAAACCCCATTAAAGTGACTGATGACTAAGCCAAGAGGTATCAGGTTAAAGCGTGAAAAAAAAAGGTCGGAGCACCAATTTCTGAGGACCTGGTGGCCAAAGGTGTCAAATACTGCAAACAGAAGACATTTGAATCAGCTATGCGCTTAAGCAAGTGTTTTGTTTTGTTTTGTTTTGTTTTGTTTTTTCCAAATGAAAGTTCATAACTGTGGTGATTTAGGGGCTCATGGTATGGATCGGCTGCTTCAACAAAACTACAAGAAAGGGTTTTGTAATATCCTCTGTAACATCCAACTGTCTTCATTTGAAGCAACAGATTGATGAACGAAAGGGCTGAGCAGGAATAAGTGATTGTCCTGAATTCATTCGGAGGCCTAGCGTGGTATTGTAAAAAAAATCACTGATTCACCGATTAATTAAGTGTTTGTGGAAAGGAGGAGCTCAAGGACCACAGTCGGGGTGCCCGAGTTCATGTCAGATGGAGAAGATGGCCGGAGTCGAATGGAATCCACACCATGTCTTATTATTCTCTGATGTGAAGTACTGCTAAAGCCGCGAAGAGCCCAAGATGTCATAACCTAAGGGCATCAGTGATCTGATAGGACCCACAATTGATTGGCGGCATGGGATGTCAGAATGATAGGACCAGGAGTAGACAAACTTAGAAGGGTATCCTGTGTGGATGTATCTGGACATATGAAATCGTCTAAGCATTCTGATGAGTATTATACACCATGGAGTGGTGCATTTATGTGTGTTCATCAATTGGGTGAGAGCGAAAATGATGACGTTAGCAATGAGTTTCTAGCCTCTTCTCAAAAGATGGATTATCATTAGGATACAACAATCCAAGCACAATCCCCAGTCCTAACAATATTGTGTGTGTGTGTGTGTGTGTGTGTGTGTGTGTGTGTGTGTGTGTAGAAGTACAGAAAATGTGAAAGGTGGCTTTTACTGTGGTGAGCCACAGAAGTGGCTGACTTAAATTTCTCATTTAATGTAAAATGTCAAAATACGTTTGGAAAAACCCGATAATTTAGTGCTAAGATGCAAAAAAAGTTTGTTTGTTTTTTTTTTAATGAAAAAATCAATAAAGGGCTTTGTGCTGCTCCTCGGTAAGTAGGCTGTGGGAATGATTTCAGTATGATTTATCATCACTGCGTGATGGCTTTGATCAGATCTTGGTCCACACATTGTGTGAATAGGTGTGTCTCCAGTACGGCGATCCTACGTGGCGAGGTGGTGTGCAAAAGCGGTGTGGTGGATGGTCAACAATGGTTGGGATCGGCTCTCCAAATGTGAGAAAAACAGCTGGCATTATTCATAAGTTCCAATTTTTTACCCATACTACTGCTTCATTTTCTCAAATCTGTTATGTTTGAATGTTATAGATGTCATGATTCTGTTCTGTTGTGGTTCAGTTTCTGGCGGGATCGAAAGGAATTCCCTCCAGAGCGGTGGTGTCACGCATTACCATCGGCTGTGTTTAAAAGATCAGCCGGGCCAAAAACTCGCTGTTGGATAATTCAGCCTGAAAGTGGCAAAATGGCTGCCCAGTGAGTTGGACCAAACCGTGTGGATTTTACTGGTTAACTCATTTTCCACAAGTGTTATATTAATCATATCGTCATGTTTACACAAGTGGGGCGACATAGAAAGAACAAAATACATTTGTAGCGCAAAAAGACATATTTGCATAAACATATCCTAACGTAGCTGTATGGGGCTGAACGATTAAGTATTTACAATATAACTGTTATTACATAAAACTCAATTTCCAAATCGCCAAGGCTGTGATTTGACTGGTCATCGGACGCTGTAATTGCAGCAAGCCATGCTAGGTGTGCCTAATTTCTGTGAGTTTTCTGTCTCACGAGCTTTAGGCTCATAGCTAACGTTTGATCATTTTTGTCTGGCCAAGTAAAAATATAAAATAAAATCCTCACCCCGTGTGTTGTTTATTTTGTGTTGTTTTGGCTAGTCTCCAATGTTGGAGCATCAGAGATGAAAATGGACTTTTCTGAAAATTCCAGAAAAAAAAAATAAATAAATAAATAAATGTGTGTGTGTGTGTGTGTGTGTGTGTGTGTGTGTGTGTGTGTGTGTGTGTGTACACACACACACACACACACACACGCGCGCACGCACTTGGCCGATCAAGCATGAATTAGTTTACACAAAACGCTATTCAAATACTCGACATTCAATGATTAATCTTCCTTTTGTGCGCACGTGTACCCTTTGTGGCTTCCATTCGGGCCGAAATTTCGAAATCTCCAAGATATGGCGAGGCCATGAGAATGCGAAGCGAGGGTATTACTGTTGTGGCGACTCCACTCAAGCGAAGCGAGCCTCCGCAGTAGATAGCCTGCTGCCCCCTCGCGGTCTTGTTGACGGCGTCTTTTATTCGTTACACTGGGGTTTAGCGGGTGTGTTTATAAAGAGACGAAAATTGTTTGGGGACTATCCCCCACGTTCTAGTTGAGATGGTATAACCCAAGAGGCAAAATGACGCTTGCTACTGTTGTTGCGAGTTGCCATTCGTTCTACTAAACCATTAGTCAAACGCCAACATGCCTTCTGTCGTTATTAAACAAACAAAAATCTCTTTACTGTTACTAGTGTTTGTGCCTCAATATGGCTACGCACGTGAAAGCAATACAACGAACTCAAACGCGTCTTCGTTCAATGTTGTCAACTAATATCCGGATTATGCAAATTTTCCTCAATTCTCTGGAGAAATTTTCATAAAAATTTGAAAAACCCGGAATTCCGGGAAAATCCAGAGGACTTTCATCTCTGGAGCATGTGGCACTGTGGGTGATAAAAAGGAAGTGTCTGCTGATAGACCTGTCGTGTGAAACACCACTGTGGGAGTCATTATCCACAAATGAACAAAACATGGAAAAGGAACAAAGGAACCCAGGACAGGAACTACAGGCCAGTGTTTATGAATATACAATAAGTGGGAGACTGGGGGAAAATACGCTTTGCAAAAGTTATTCATTTATTTACTTTTTAATCATGTGATTTTATTTTTTTGTAGTTCTTTACAATTGTTATTTGTTTTAATCTGATTTGCTGAATCATTTGAAACTGTGTGTTTTCATTCATTTAAAAAAATACAAGATTCATTATGGTGGTGGTTTTGGTTTTTGCTCAATCAATTAAATCCCCATTATTGTATAAACTAATATAATTGCTAATGATGATTATGATAATATGATTGCTGAACATTCGGCAAGCCCCCCTGCTGCCCATCTTTAAAACTCATCTCAAAACTCATTTCTTTTCTTTGGCTTTTGACTCAACATGACTCAGACTTGATGTTCGTTTTACTGTTTTTGTGCTTTCTACTGTCTTCGTTATTAATTTATTGTTTTATTGTTTATTGTATATATATGATATGTGTTCCATGTACAGCGCTTTGTATACAGCGGTGGTTGTTTTAAAGTGATCTATAAATACAGGTGAGTTGAGTTGAGTTGAGATTATCAAAAATATAATCCCTGTAAAATGCCTTGACTCGGAAAATGAACAAAACAGCATGCTTGATCATTTGCATCGTACAGCTCAGGGACAGCAGACATCAGAGCTAGCGATATGCTTTCGGCATGATGTCACATTTGTTAACTCATTTGAAACGGCATGACGCAAACATAAACATTAGGCTTAGGGTTAGCACCAAAAACATTAACTTCTAGTGGCATTTAAACTGCCTCCCAAATTGAATTATTTCACACTACTACGACAAAAATAAGTGAAACTGTGCTACTGTTCAGAAAGCGAATGAGTGATTGGTGTCGCGAGAATATGTCATGCTGAGTACACTGCATGGACAAATGTAATCAAGAATACCACAGAGTCATGGTTGGTTTTAGTATCCATGTCGATGAATTGATTAAGGAGCACGGGCACATCAAACACATGCCGTGTAAGGCTCAGTTTACATACAAGTAAGCCAAGTACTCCACAGTGAGTAGTACACATCAATATGCTCAGTTGCTTCCTGTTTCTGTTGGTCGTTTTGCCGGAGGCTGCAGAGGTGATTCCTCCACTCTCCATGATGTCTTCAGAGACACTCAACTATTTTTAGCTCGCTCATTCAAACCTACTGGCCCTCCTCTTGACGGATCGCCCTTTGAAACACCCCAGCTGAGTCTTTATCCTCTCCATCGTCACATTTTCCTTTCCACCTCATTTGCTTCTTTTCTTTTAGTGCAACTCAAAGCAAAACGCTCCCTACCGCTCTCCAACACCGCCAAACTGTGCGGCAACACGACTGCTACATGGGCTTTTGAATAAAAGCAAGAAAAATAATGAACTTAAAAAAAAATAAACTTAAACAAAATTTTATAGTGGTTATTAAATGTCTTCACACCATCTTTATCAATCCATCCATCCATTTTCCGATCCGCTTTATCCTCACAAGGGTCACCGGGCGTGCTGTAGCCTATCCCAGCCGTCGGGGGACACCCTGAACTGGTTGCCAGCCAATCGCAGGGCACACACAGACGAAGAACCATCTACACTCACACCTGGGGACAATTTAGAGGGTTCAATCAGCCTGCCATGCATGTTTTTGGAATGTGGGAGGAAACCGGTGTACCCGGAGAAAACCCACGCAGGCCCGGGGAGAACATGCAAACTCTACATAGGAAGGCCGGAGCTGGACTTGAACCTCTGCACTGTGAGGTCGACGCGCTAACCACTGGACCACC